AAATTTAGTAGAAATGTCTCATATGTCTACTTAGGTAAAATAATAACAAAACAAAAAAAATAAATATATATATATATATATATATATATATATATATAATTTTTATTTAATAGGTGAATTCAGAACTAATGTCGATTATCAATATCAACATTATGTTGCAACGTAGATCTTTTACAAATAATTCAACTTGGTCTTACATTTCTTGATGACTTATAGAATATACTAGTCGGTAGTTACACAATATGACAATTTAATTTTAAATTTAATTTATAGTAAGTTTGTGTTATTAACTTTCGTACTTAATTGGTCATATATTTTTTAGGAACATTAAGTTGTTAAAATAATTATGTAACATTCAGAATTTTCTTTAACTTTTTTTGTAATAAGACATGTACATTTTATTATTGCCAATGAAGAAATGTATGCACAGGATAGTAGACACATGTTATAAAATAAATATATATAATTCAGAATAATAAAAAAACATGAAGAGGAAGACATCAACCTTTTGCAGAGCTGCTGATGACACCTGGAATTATTCTTCGAAAATTTTATAGATAACACATTGGAGAAATGCAACAAACTTGAACGTTGCAAGATGAGTTTGAAACATGCTTGTTATTTCTTTTCGCTGCCTCCACATACTGTCTTAAATACATGTGACAGCAGCAAACTCATTTAAAGTAACTAATTACAAACGTAAGTGTTTTTTTTTTTCACATTGAACACAGTAATTTTTTATTACAATTATTACAATATTTTTAACATAAATTGTAAAATTTGAATTGTTTAAAATGTATACATTTTTACGCATTTAATTACAATTTTTATCCATTATTTAAAAAAATTATTAGATTTTTTATTATATATGTTACATTCAGCAAGGTTCGATTTAATATAGGTGATAAATTTTATAAACATACCTTATGCATTAACGATTTCTTTCATCAAAGTGCTGTGTTCAATATGCGTTATGATTTAAGTTTTTGCATAATGTATATTTTTTACAGATTGTGACCTTTAATTTGGCCCTGGTCCTTGCAAAAATTTTGAAATAAGATATTGGTATAATGCAACTTCGAATGATTGTCAAACCTTCATGTATGGGAGTTGCAGAGGAAATGGTAATTATTTTGTAACTGACGATGAATGCTTGATCGTGTGTGTTAACAAACGAGGATTGCGAAGGAATCCAGATAATTAGGATTTTTATAATAAATGACTGTAATAAAATGAAATGTACAGACATATGTATATATAAAATATGTAGAGTATATATGAATAAGAAAGTACTTCTTAATTTAATATTTTTTATCTTGTTCGTTATATTGAACATATGCTACGTACAATAATTTAATAACATATAATAATTTGAATGAAACATAATCAGTGTTTATTGAAATACTTTTTTGGTTTAGAAGAAATATCATATCTTATATGGATTTGCCACAATCGTACTAAATTATTATCAGAATTATTACAAACATGCAACAAGAGTATCGTATTCTTTTTTTATATTTAGATATTTATCATATTGTAAAAGTTTAATATGCTTTTTAAATATATAAGGCAAATAAAATCAATTTTAGGTAAGAAGAATTAAAATTTTTATAATTTCCTAATTTTATTTATTATTTATGAGTAGATCAATTTTATAATAACTTGATGTTAAGTAAATTGCATGTTTATGATGTCAGATGTTCAGTGTCAATATAAAATCAAATACACGTGGCACAAAACACGTGCTAAGTCAAGCCGGCAAAAAGTAATGTGTGGTGCACTCTGTCGATGAGTTATGGAATATAGAGTGTGACGATATGTTACTTTACCTTATAATTTTTCTCGTATCATTTTTTAAAAATAATTACAGTCAATCGTACAATTAGATCAAATATTTTATAACGTTTTTATTTACGATGTTTCTATTATCTAATAATTTAGTGAACATTATTTTAATAATTTTTTATTACCAACATGGTTGAAGAAATAATACAATTGGATTATGACAGATAGCAGCACTTAGGACGCCGAACAAGATGGTTGAAGACCAAGATTCCTCCTCACCAGAAGTTCATTCCCCGCGCCGATAGTCCTGGCTTGTATCAGCTTATACTCCGTCCTTCAGGTTCGAATAGCATCTCATCAGTGGTATCAGCGATCGAAGCGCCTGTATTTCGTGTCGCGCTTATAAAGCTAATAGTAAGCTGAAGAAGTCGTTTAAATTATTCATGGTTTGACAACAGGAGTGTGAGTTCGAAAGTGCAACCACAATTAATTCGTTTCATACTCAGACATTGCTGGCCATAAGAATATCATATTGAATGGTATAATTCCCCATACGTTAACTCATTCTAAACTTCGAACGACGTTCTTGTTTGTTTAAGAAACATAACCTGATTTCTTACGAACTTGTTTAACAAATAACGAATTCTGTTGGGTATTGCTCTTGCACAATGGTTTTATTTTATCCGTATTTTTGCAATATATTCTGCATTTTGTCTTTATATGATAAACATTTACAATGAACTGTTGTTGTTTACTCAATAACCATAACCTTGCTTGCCGTCTTGATTAAAAATTTAATGTTAGCTGTTATTTCGATAAAATATAGTTTTTGTATCAGCATCTCAGAAGTATATTAAGTCTATGTTAAGACACATTTTTTCAAAAGTTGAGTTATTATCACAAGACTTCAAGTTTTGCCCAATGGTAAACAGTTTTAAATCCTTGATTACATCGTAGTTTGCTGCAAGCGATCACTTTATGATTTCAAATGTGCACTTTCAAGTTAGAGCTGCTAAAAATCTCTTTAGATCCTTGTCCTGGAAAATTATGTTCATGAGACTTAAAATACTCTGCCTCTGAGGTTGCTGATATATGTATATGGATTGCATTGAAAGTTTTTTTTAGTACATAATATCTGTCAGCAATGCATAATGAGTTATGAATTATGTGTGAATTTATAGTGATATGAAGAAGGAAAAACCGTGACGGAGGTGATTTGAAGATAAAAGAGGCCCTGTTAAATGCAGAAAAATGCCATCAGCTACTGGTGCGTAAGATGTACACGATATGTGTCAGATTCTTGTTCACAACTAAATTGTAATAAGATAGTGTAATGTCACACAGTAAAATGTAATGAGACTGTATAAATAAAAGCTTTTGTTGAATAGACATAATGCATTCTATAGAATATTTGTAATTGTTATATAGATTATGGAAATTGCATTGAGCAAATATTGAATCAAGAATATTGAAAGAAAAATTTATACATTTGTTCAGTTAGTAAGTAAAGGATATACGCATTATAAATAAAGAAACATATTCTAACTACCAGAAAGAACATATAATAAAGAAAAATAAATAAAGTTATAATAAAGAAATGTTTTGTGTATGCATTTATAATTCTGCATATATTGTGTGAGATATATAAACATCATATTCCTATACTTAAAATATGATAATAATCTTATAAATTTATATTTCATATATATTTTGCAAAATATTAAGATAATATAAATCAGTCAAAATACATGTATAAAGAAAAGCATTGAATATCTATTTCTATATAGATTTTTAAATAATAATGAAAAATTTTTAGGCGGGACCAACGCAAGTGGGCAGCAGAAGGGTGGAGGGACTATGCCTAGTAACGAAGAATGCGGAATCAGAGATGTATGGGGACACAATTTGGAAGAGGAATTTCGTACAATTCGTCAAGTTGTACAACAATACCAGTATATTGCAATGGACACAGAATTTCCGGGTGTTGTAGCTAGGCCTATCGGTAAGAGCAAAATTTTGAGAAATGTCTCATATGTCACTTTGGAAAATACACACAAATATATATATATATATATATAATTTTTATTTGAAACAGGTGAATTCAGAACTAATGCCGATTATCAATATCAACTCTTACGTTGCAACGTAGATCTTTTGCGAATAATTCAACTTGGTCTTACATTCCTTGATGAATCGGGGAATACACCAGGCGGTAGTTACACAACGTGGCAATTTAATTTTAAATTTAATTTACAGTAAGTTTGTATTATTAACTTTTGTACTTAATTGAATCACATACTCTTTTTAGGAACATTAAGTTAAAATAATTATATAACATTCCGAATTTTTTTACCTTTTTTTTAGCCCTTTTTGTAATAAGACATGTACATTTTATTGTTGCTAGTGAAGACATGTATGCACAGGATAGTATAGAAATGCTACAAAATAGTGGTATACAGTTCAAGAAACATGAAGAGGAAGGCATCGATCCTTTAGAGTTTGCAGAACTATTGATGACATCGGGAATTGTTCTTGTTGATGACATAAAATGGCTGTCGTTTCATTCTGGTTATGACTTTGGTTATTTACTGAAACTCCTCACTGATCAAAAATTGCCCCAGGAGGAAAGTGAATTTTTCGAACTGCTTAGGATATACTTTCCAACAATATATGATGTAAAAGTAAGTACAATCGCTTAAGGAAAAGTAAAACTCATTAGAAATATTTGAGATTTCATAATTTATATTACTTTATGCACAGTACCTCATGAAATCATGCAAAAACTTGAAAGGTGGCTTACAAGAAGTAGCAGAACAGTTGGAAATTCAAAGAGTAGGCCCTCAACATCAAGCCGGGTCTGATTCTCTACTTACAGGAATGGTCTTTTTTAAAATGCGAGAGGTAAATAATTTAACTCTTCACTTTACTTACTTTTATTTTATATATAATATGCAAATATTTTCAACTTGCTTCCGGCTTTTATTTTAGATGTTTTTTGAAGATAACATTGATGATGCAAAATATTGTGGACATCTATACGGTTTGGGAACATCATTTGTAATGAACGGAGCTAGCACATACATGGACAGTAATGGAGATAATGCCTCAACTTCGTAATGTTAACGAAAGAATCAACCGTAACAGAGAGAAATTATTTCATTACAAATAAAATGTTATAAAAAAATCTTTTCACTTTATAATCAAGTGTATGGTCCATATCCGCAATATTATTATATTGACATCATTGCTGTAGGTTCCGCAGAGAATGCAATTTAGACGTGTCCCTTACAGATTTTATGTGTGCTTTTTTTTTTTTTTTTTTTTTAATTCTTTTGTATTTCTGTGACTTTTTTAGATTTCTTCTGTGATACGTATTACCAACTGAAAATATTTTCAACACCGAACAGCATACAACAAAAAAATGTAATATAGTTTTTTTTGTAAACATTTGGACAATATTGATATATAAGATACCATTACAGTACAAAAATCCCATAATTTCCTCTACTTTTAAGATCCTTGCAGTACATATCTAGATACTTGAATGATGCATACAGAAACTGCTTAACATCGTGTACCCGAACGAAACAATGTATAAACATAATGCTACATTATGTAGACGTATCTGTTACTGTTGATATGTGTATTTATTCTATAATGCATTTGTAGCGCAAAATATGTTTTAAGCCCGGAAAATTCATATACATTTTAGAAAGCCGCGGATGAAAGGATACACTGTCTCTCAACATTTTTGAGTTAAACTACATATATACAGCATTGATATAAGAATCATACATTTTTATTATACATATAACGAATACCGTGGCATAAGTAACACATTCATATAAAGTGTCGTTAGTAATACGATGTTTTAAAAACGAAGTATCCTTCGTATAATATTCGTTATATATCGCACATATTTTATTGTAAAATTCGTCGTCCGCAAGAATAAAAGATAGATTTTGGTACATTTTCGAACCAATTCGTACTAGAAATATTTACTTTGTAAATAACGGACAGTTGCATAAATCGAATAAACAATTTACTTCTAAAAGATCGATTGTTAATACATTTGCGAAAACAAGTTGGAACAAACGGTTAATTTAATTAATCGATAAAATATTTTAGATATGTATAAGCGGATACGCCCTTTTTGTAAGTGGAACGCGTGGGTCTTCACTTTTCCCGTTCAACGTGTTGCGTATCTACCTGTAGTAAAGAGATAATTGCACCTTATCATACTAGAGCCGATGATATCAGTACATCGTTATCGCGACTTGTTACCTGAATCTCGGTTCAGTTTCGTTGTGCGTTCTAAAGTAATTAGTTCGTGTACTACCGCTCTGCGAAAATGCGGTTTCGAGCGTCGCGAAACAGGCTCGATTGCATTTTCACGTTATCGAAATGGGTTGTTCTTCTCGTTTGTCTTTCCTCATTAATGCCAAGTGGTATTATTGCGCAAACCGAAAGCGAGACGTTTGAAAGTGCATACGGACTGAATGTACACGAATCAGTCGAGAATCATAATACGGAAGAGAACGAGTTGTCGCCGCCACATGCAAAGGAAGCGGAAACTTCTTCGGAGATCGAAGATCTCGCTGTGGAGGACAAAAATTTAGGCCCTGTCGAAAAAAAAGACGGTGAGGAAAATCCGACCCAAGTTCTGCCGGAAACTGAAAATGCTTTTGTAGCGAAAAGCGAATCTGAGACGGATTCGATCTCCGTTCAAAAGGTTTTCGACGGAATAACGGAGGAAAAGAACGGAAAATATGTAAGATACGGTAAGTAATTATCCTTATCAATGGGCGTGACCATCGTTTCGCAATGAATTTCACTTTGAGCAACGACGAATACAGTATCTGTCTGTGTTCTTCTTTGTTTGCATATGTTTTTCTTAAAATACTTAATTTTTTTTAATTGCAATTTTAAATAGAGTAATTTATAAAAAGTCTCGCGTATTCAGGCTTTGCGCTTCGCCTGTAGACGATCCATATCATTTCTTATCATAGCGTATTTATCAGTTACTCACTTTAACATGAATCGGGGATGATTCATTGGATGAGACAAGCTATTTTGATAAATCATTTGAAATTGACGATTGATTTTAATTTCACTTTAATTTGATTCAATGTTGATTGCAAATTTGTTAGATTTGCTGCATTTAGCATAAATATATATATATTTTTTTTTTCAAAAAATATAGTGCAAAATATTAACTTCAGTTGTAATATTATATTAAATATTTAATTTACTTCGATTATTTTTAATAGCATCGTTTTGATCTCTTTGGTACGCAGATTCAGATTCACCCGAAGCTGATCGGTACGCGCCTCGTCCAGATGACAATCCGCCTTTTTATAAAATAACAGATACCAGATTGCGAGATATTCGATCTAAGTTCATGTACTGGTATTTCGACAAAGGCGGAGACAATGATATGGGAGATTACCAATCGGCTTTGCAGGCTACATCATTGCAGATCCACAAGAATTTGAATTTTCAATTGCCGTTCTTCGGCTTTAGGTTCAATTACACAAGAGTATGGCCGCATTCATTATCATTTGTATTTTTAATAGTATAATTATCTTTATTGAGTGCAATTCGTATATTTTTTTTTGTATGAAAAGCATCCATATATTTAAATTCACGTATTTAATTTGAAATTTTAATTTACCGATCGAATATTTGGATATTTTAATATTCAATAATCAAGAATTTTATTACGATTGACAACTTTTATCTGAAAACCAATAAGATGTTAATTTTTTAGTTAACCGTTAACGGATACTTAGAGTTCAGCGATCCACCGGAGCATCTTACATATCCCCTTGTTTTTCCGATCAAAGATTGGCCGAAAAAGAATGATCCCAGTTTCATCGGCATTTTCTTTAGTAAATGTCGCATAGGCATGCTGAGAGAAACGGACATTGATCAAAGGAAGCCGGGGGTATATTTTCGGTACGCATACGTAATGTAAAAAATTAGCGTCTTCGTCAATTACGCGTGGGAAATGTTGAAAAATAAAAATTTTACGGAGAATAATTATTCTTCAGACTCGAGAGGGACTTGCAATCGAGAACCGATCAGTTCGGTGTGGAAATGCGAGAGCGTGTCATGTGGGACATTCGTCAAGGTGTTGTAGGCGCTGATTCCTTCGAGCCAAAGCACGCCCTTATCGCAACCTGGAAGAACATGTCCTTTGCAGGTGGCATCGATTTATCTCTTTATCGAACCAACACGTTTCAACTAGTTTTAGCCACCGACGAAGTCTTTACTTACGCTATCTTCAACTATCTTAATCTCCAATGGACGAGTCATACTGAGGCAGGCGGTGATACAACGCAAGGAGAGAATGGAGTTCCTGCATTTGTTAGTGATCGCGAAAAATTTTTTGTTTTGCAACAATTATGAACAATTATGTTATAAATTTTTGTGTCAGACAAATTTTATTTTTCTTAAAAATCTTGATATATATATTTTATTTACTTCTTCTCGTTAAGAAATGTCTCAAATTGATTTGTGGGACTTATTTTTTCATTCATTTTAAGGTGGGATTTAATGCTGGCAACGGAACCCAGAGTTACGAGTACAAGCCTTATTCTCAGGCAACCACGCTCCGCGATTTAACGAGCAGAGGATGGGCAAACGGCTTTCCGGGTCGGCACATTTTCAGAATAGACGAGAAGATAATGTTAGGCACTTGTAATAAGGATATTGGTAAGAGCGCGGTATTTTAAGAAATGCTGATCAATAAATTCTTGATTCTAAATTCATGATTCTTATCATTCTAATATTACACAGCCGGAGCTCATCTGCCGTTGGTTTTCGCCCCGGAAAGTGGAAATATGTTGGGCGGTACCGTCGTCAACATCACAGGACCGTGTTTCAACGAGAGCCAAAAAATCAAGTGCCGCTTCGAGAACGAAGTAGTGATGGGCACGGTAATCGACAAAAACCGCGCGATTTGCATACAGCCGTTCTTGAAGTACGAAGGCTACATACGATTCTACATTGCTATCGACAGCGGAGCTTACGATTGGAAGGGAAAATACTTCGTTGGTAAAATATTTCACTTTTTTTTATATTCAACATTATACGCGTTCCTGCATCAATCATTCGCGACGGCAATATTTTTATTATTCGTAATAAAATTATTCTCTTGCAGAAACTCCGGCCACGGCGACGGAGAGAATCTTTTTCAGCGATAAAGATGCCGTTCATAGAAAAGATCCTGCGGAAATAAAATTCACCTGGAACTCGTATAATTTAACTAGCAATATAGGAGCGGGCGTGCAAATTTCACTGTGGGGATACAGAGAGACGAAGACAACACCCGAATTTGAATATATAACGACTTTGGAGGTTTGCATGTGACAGATGACGCGAAAACGCTGGAGAAAAAAGCTGGAAAGCTGAAAATAATAAATTATCTACTGTGTGTTTCAGAAGTCACACACCAACATGGGTAGTTACGTGATTAAACCAGCCAAATACCGAGACATGTACAATCCGTATCACGTAGACATGGCATTCGGTTTCATACAAATTAACCTGACCGAGCCGCACTTGTATTCCGGACTCTCGATAACACCGTAGGTTTTATAAGATAAAAATGTACGCAGTGCGACGATATGGATCACGTTTAAACGGTTAAATTTAATTTACCGTAGGAGCTTGTGGAGCAGACCGATTCCGCTCGCATGGTATTTCTCGTCACAATGGGAACGATTACACGGATCGAAGTGGGCTCAGAAACTCTGCGATAAATGGATCATGCATGACCGGTATCTAAAAAATTTCGCCGCTGAGGTAGCGCTTTGCCCTTGCATTCTGGATCACGCTTTGTACGATAAAGGTCGTTTCCTCCCGGATTACAACTGCGATAAAGATTCGAATATAGACTGCTATTATAATCAACACGCCATGCACTGCGTCAGAACAGGTGCACCAAAGTAAGTGGTCTATTTTAATTTTGCGGATACAATTAGTTACTTTTTATAAATATTTGATGTTTTCGACGCCTTTTTGTTTGTAATTTACAAATAGCTCGATAGCTATTTAAAGCAATATCTTGTAATTATGCATTTTTAACAGCAGTTATATATTCATGCTATTTTAGCTTAGATGGCTCGGAGCAACAGTGTTGTTACGACAGAAACGGTTTCTTGATGTTGACTTACGATCAGCAATGGGGTTCGCGACCACATCGGTCTCACAATTTAGGCTACTTCCCATGGAACGAGGCTAACAAGGTGCCAACTCTGTCGCATTGGTACCACGATATAGTGCCAATGTATTCGTGCTGCCTCTGGCAAGAAGAACAAGCCGTCGGTTGCGAGACGTTCCGATTCGAGAGAAGACCGTCGCAAGATTGCATTGCTTATCAATCTCCAGGTGTATCGGCGGTATTCGGCGATCCTCACTTCGTCACATTTGACGGCGTCGAGTATACTTTTAACGGTAAAGGCGAATTCGTTTTGCTGCGAGTGAACGATCTCAGGGACAAACTTGACGTGCAGGGTAGATTCGAGCAGATGCCGAACAACATTTACGGCCAAGTGATGGCGACGCATCTCACCTCGGTAGTGGGTAAGTTTCTGATATTACTATACATTTATCAAAACAATGGTTATAATCAACGTAATCCCGTTTTTACATAGCGAGAGGCAATAATTCTGCCACTATCGAAGTTCGTTTGAGACCTAAACACGCGCAATGGAGATATCGGCTCGATGTTTTCGCGGACGGTCAAAGAGTGTACTTCGACAGACCAGCCTTAAAATTCCAACACTTTGCCGGGGTCGTCGTTTACACTCCAACGTACATATTAAACCAGAGCGAAGTCATTGTTATGTTCGACACTGGGGCAGGCGTCGAAGTTGTGGAAAACGAGGGGTTTTTGTCCGCGCGAATGTATTTGCCGTGGACGTACGTGGTAAGAAGCGAATATACCTTCCTCTTTTGTATTATTTTTCGGAGAATTAAAACTAACGTACAAATATATATGCATCGAATTAATCGTAATTTTATAAAATCAGTTATGAAATAAATTATAATTTTATAAAACTTTAATTAATATTAAATATTGAGTGACGTATAACGACAAGACATATTAACAAAAGAAAGAGCTGCGATTCTTATAGCCTTTTCTCTGTTAATTTTATATATTATTGATATTTAATATTAAGCATTGATATTAAATTGATATTTTAAATTGATATTTTAAATTGATATTCTAGAATAAAACGAGGGGATTATTTGGCATTTGGAACTTCGATAAGACAGACGATTTAACAAGTCCATACGGTTATCAGGTGCCTATCATGAGCGTGAATCATTCAGAGACCATTCATAGAGATTTTGCAATACAATGGATGCTGGAAGATAAGGAGAATAAAGTCAAAGGAGGGGCTTTATTCCATAGAGAGTTTGGTCGAACAGCGAGCTATTATGCTAATCACACGTTCATACCTGAATATCGAAAGTATCCGCAAGAGATACTTCCATTGAATAGAACATACGACATAAATCGCGCGATCGACTTATGCGGCGAGTCTTATCAGTGTCAATACGATTACGCTATGACTTTGAATCGTGATTTAGCGCACTTTACCAGAAACTACTACGACACTTACACCCAAATCAATGCGTTGAACAAAAGAGAGAGTAAGTAGATGCGCGTTTTAAAAACCGCCTTAATTCATAAATGATATAAATCTAGCTACAAAAATACACGTAAAAAAAGTCTATTTTGCAATAAGCTTATTACACATGTGCATATTTAATTTTTAAGTTGTGTCCTGCGGGATATTGGAAACACCGCGATTCGGACGTAAGAGCAATTTTCTGTTTATCCCGGGGACGAAAGTGAGTTTCGAATGCAATCAGGATTTCATACTTGTCGGTGACCAGCGTCGGGTGTGCACGCCGGAAGGTCGCTGGAACACTCCGGAGTATGGATATACGGAATGCCTTCGTGAGTATTTCTATACTATTATTTAATGCATTAGCGCCTCACTGCAATCTCACCATGTCTGCTTAACGATTCTAAACGAGGTGGGGGAACGAGGTTTAATACGCGAGCGGTGGCGCATTTACCAGATCAGTTAATTTGCGAAGCGGATCAAATTTCATTAATTTCATTTGAAAGTTAAATCGAGTCTACGCTCATAATCGAATATTTAATCACTGAGAATCCGCTTTTACGAAGCAAGTTTACATAACTCGTTAAGAAACAACGTTGAGTGGATTTTGCGTCGCGGTTTCCATCTCCCCTTTCTAATATTTTCCATCCTTCAATGCGCCATTCATCGACATTTACGTTTTCACCGTGAGATTTGCAAATCAATATATACTTGTGTCAGAATTGACGCTTATTATATAAATATAGGTCACATCGAGTACGTTCAGCGTACAGCGTGGACCGTAATGGGCATTATTGCCGTCGTAATAATCCCCGTGATGGCCTGCATCGTCGGCGGTTTTCTTTATATAAGAAAGAACCAGTCTCAGGGAGGTTCCATGAAATCGTGGGGTTATACCGGACGCTTGTCTACCATCGATAATGAATCCACACTGTCGAAGCCGCTAAAGGCGTATGATGATAGGGCCATTACTCCAATTAGCGATGCTAGCACAATTGATACTAATAGCAGCCCTAGGAAGCGTCGTAGTTACGATAGAGTGTACCGCACACACGAACCTTTGCCGAACAGGCCGGACATTGACTTCGAAGATAAAGAGTGGGACTTGAAGGAGCCCGTCTCACCCACGGGGTCGGATTCGGGCGCAGATACGATTAGAAAAACAAACAGTCCCACTAGAGAAAGTAACGTTTAGATGATATTCGTCTCAATATTATTGTAATAGAAACGATAAGGTCTGCTCGCAAGGCTGCTTCATTTGCACGCGTTATTTGAGTCAGTATGTATGTGTGTGTGTGTGTAAGTGACCATGACAGAATGTATCTTGATTCCAACTTGAGCGACACACACCTTGCACGCGTAGAAATTAACATTAATTATCGCAAATTAAATATCAATTAATTTGAAATTTAGCATAGAAACTTAGCTGTCGTTTTCTTCATGAATTTTGGACGATAAAGATAAATCCATTATATATCATTTCATAAAGTTCGGTGTTTATTTTAATATTTCTACCTTAACGTATAGACAATAGGAGTGTGTTTTACTGTCCTTGCTGTGGAATAGAAATAGTTACATTACCGATTGTATATTTAAAATATATACATTATTGTTGTCATTGATATGACGCAATTAAATATAATACATCAAACGTTGTATGTGGCTCTAAGCAATGATCGAACGCAATATTAATTCTCTACAAATGTAACAATCGGTTTATATGATTGTAATAATTATACCGCAGTATTTAATGCCATAAACACTTGTGTTCTCACATTGTAAAAGCCTGTTTTAATAAAATTTTGTACATCATTAAAATGAGATGAGACGGGAAATTTCTATTCCACATGCATGCGCAGAATGTTTATAGTAAAGAAAACGATTCATGTCATTATGATGCAGCATTAGAACAGCATTCGAATGGAATGGAAATTTCCACCATTGTTCTCGTAGATTTCTCCTGTCACGATCTTTTTTATCCTCCTCCTCCTTTAAAAATTATTATTTACATTATTATAAAATCCGTCTAATGCGTCATAACAATTTATTAGAGAAATTAAAATCAATCACAATTAAAAATTTTCAAATGCCTAACTTAATTATTAAAGCACGAAAAAATTCGCGAGATTCACGGTGAAGTTTTTTATTCGGATAAAAAGAAAGGCAGAAATACATTGCTTTTCTAACCGATAGAATGGAAAAAGATGTAATTTAAATGATAATGTGCGCGAAAATGATCTCACGATTTGTCTATCCAACGTAAATGATTCTTCTTCGAATTGCGTTTTCCATTATTTTGTTTTCACACATTTATACGGTATAATATATTTTGTTATATAATCTCTCTGCAGGTCAGCAGGAATATAGCTCTCGTCAAGCAGGTATTACAACCGGCATAGTGCTCGCTTGCCTGATTCCAATTTTGCTGATAATAGTCTGCGTTGGATATCGAGCTCTCAAGAGTCGTAAAGAACAACGAGAACAAGAGGAAGTTCTAGCGAGGTATCAGATGCACTTCACTGCCAATTTTGAGAAATAGACTTCATACCTGACGGTAACTAAAACGTTATAACACAATTGTATTCCAGAACACGGCAGGCGGAACTGCAACGATTGCGAAAGGTCGGCGAGGAAGAAGAGACTATTCCTTACAGTCCCAGTAGAGCGACTGAGATCAATTAGAAGATTTGTTTTATAACAAATTTTTAGGGACCTACAATTTTTATACCTTATTACTCCTTACATTATTTCATATTTCTAATTTAGATGTGACTCACCATTTCGGCATTGTTTCATTTCTACAATTATTTAAATACATTTTTATCAAAGAGTAGATATAAGATAACGATGTAAGACTTTAAATATCTTCTTTTTATATACGTCAGTATCTATAAGAGAACACTGTAAAATTTAATCGTATTAATTTCAAGTATGTAAATAAAAGATAAATTCTATTATAAGAAATTTAATTAAATTTTTAACAGTGCATTTTAAAAAGAGACTGTAAAACTTCTAGAAGGCTTTAAGCAAAGTTAAAAAAAAATTAAAATTAAGAGGACTTGTACATTACATAAGCGAATCAAATAAAAAAGAAGTGGCGAACAAGCCAACACAAGATAGAAATGCGAGTAAAAAAAATTGTGGCAGAGGATTTTAAAGTTAAAGTTTCCTTTGCACGATTAACTTGTAAGTAGCGTTACTTGCGGCAGAAGTATCGTCGAGAAAAAAGCTGGACGAGGGTTGAAAGCCGAGTTTCAAGGGCGTAGCTGTGGGTGACTGTGGGCAATAAACACTTTTCGAATGCCGCGAAGTGTTAGTGGCTGTGGGCAATAAGCGCTTGAATGCGAAGGGGGAATTAATGTAGGACCTCGTCCGTGTCGAGATTCAAACTCTATTGAGTCGAACTCAAACCTTGTATAGCGGAAATTCGTACTGTGGACGCAACTGCCATCTTACAACGAAAACCGACACGAATTGCCGACAGAACAACGCTTTTACAAGAGAGCTTCGGTTGAGCGGCAATCAGTGATACCAGAATTGAGACGCGAGCTGCATGCAACCGTGCTGGAAGGGATGACGTACACGCCGAAAACCGTACACGTGCACGACTCTCGGTGTGTACGTCGTCCCTTCCATTGCGGTCACGTGCAGCTCGCGTCTCAATTCTGGCATGCACTGGTGGCAGTAGCTGCAGTCTCTTCGAGAGATTCTCTCGGTGATATTGCGTCGTGTTTAGTGATCGGAGTACTTATGGTCAAACTTCCTGCTGTGGAGTGCGCGTGTATCGTCGCAACAGCTAATTGCGGCAATTTACATCGCCGCTGGCGGCAATAATAGCTAAACTCGTCGGCAACGCCGAATGCCCATCAGAGAGCACAACGACATTCGCACGCACTAGCACCACATACAGAAATTGCGATTGCACGCGTACTTTCGCTTATCCGGCATTGGACTGGCACCGCCGGATGACAACACGAGAGACGATAATCGGGTCGGCGCTGGTACGTACTTGTGCTTAAATTATTATCGTCGTGTATCGTCGCGAAAGCCCTTGGCTTACTATGCAGTAATTTGCTTGGCAAGCACCACGCACTGCGCTGTTATATCGGGTTTATTTTATTTTTGGAGCTTTGCTCGTAATATTTGAATCAATTATTTGTGCAATCAAATAAATTAAAACCAATCTTTGGAAAAATAACAAATATTATTTGTAGCTTGATATATACTTTTCGTTTCAAATGTTTAATTTGTCATTATATAACGCTTGTTGAATAATAGTTTTCTGTCACTAAGGTTTATAGTATTTTTTAAAATAGTATTCTTCCTTGAGTAATTGATTTGCTCATTGTGAGAACGCAAACCGTAATATAATTACAAGCTATATTCGAGAAGCCGGCTTTGAAAGAAACGAGATAAAACTCCACTCGTTTTTTCGTGACCACATGTGCGGCTGTATGTATGCTACAAGTGTGTCAATGTGTAAGAATATAAACTAGGTCACATGTGAGTGATTAGCAACCAGGAGGTGGATACAGGATGCTAACAAAAAAAAATAAATAAATAAAACAAACATCCTGTATACAATACGTACAGTGGATTCTTTTGTTTTCGCTTTAGTTCGGTTTGAAATCAATTTCAAGCTTTTTTAATCTTTAGTTGTATGATATTATTTGACATGTCTGCTTTATCGTGATATTGCATAAAATAACAAATAAATAAATATTACCTATGTTTCTCTCAATATGAACTGCAATTTAATCCTTTATTGCTCAATTTATTTTTTTTTTTGAGTGCTTTGAAGGATATTCTGCGTATAGAAATATAAGTTAAAATAAAATAAATAATATATCTATACATTATGAAGACATACAGAACAAAACGGAAATAAGTTTTCATATTATAACTTCAAACATTATTACAATCGTCAATAAAAAATACGTAAAAAGGAAATAAAATGTATTAAAATCGATTTGCAAGTTAAATACATTGGACAGTAGAGTTTACATGAAGCTTCATTTATTCTAACTATTTACAATAGTTAACGTCTGTTTCGTGTGCCGAATGCTGACACATGAATTTACACTTGCGATACAATTATCCTGAATTTCTAGGAATATAACGTTTTCATTTATGGGGCTAATTTGCATGCATTATGATTGCGTCGCGTTCATAACGTTATCTATGTAACGGGAGAAAATTGGATATAACGCATTCATAAACCCACACATTAAACATGATCCATTGACTTTTATCACGCATCAGTAAATATCGAGCGAACCGGATGAACGAAGTATAGAAAGGTTTATTAATATTTCTCAAAGTTCTCTCTTTACCAGAATATATAATATTATAAAATATTAATCAAATTAGAATAATGGTCGATATCATTCTTGCAAATCGCTGGAATAATTTTATAAATTAAGAAAAATCAATCGCTTAACGTTTCAAAGATTGAGTGCAAGACGAAATTTAACTTACGAAGTATCAAAGATAACTCGTGTTTCTCCTTCTTGTAAAACATGAAATTAACTCTGGTTTTAAGGCATAATACGACGAGGCACGATCGCACGAAGAGCTACAATTAATTGCACGTGTTTTGAATTAATCGTCATTCTTTTCCGTAGATTGCAGCGTGCATCTAGTCTGACTTGTTGCAACATCATATCGCGCATTGGGAAACATGTACGACATATTACATTGGCTCGATTGTGGCTAGGATGCCTGTTGGGCATCTTAATACCATCTGTGGTCTTTTATTTATACCTATTGTTAAATGGTAATTAAGACATCATTATCGATTTGTCTTTAGCAGTGAGAGCATTAGAATGTTATTTCTAGTCCCGTCCGCGGAAATAGGCAAATCAAACATCGGAGGGAAATGGCGATCGTTATCAATAGGGACAGAGAGGCCGAGTTTACGGACGGAAGATCGCTCTTTCGAACGGTCGCAATTAAGAAACAATTTCGAGGTATGCTCGTAAAATTTTCTTTTGATAGCGTCCGCTACTACGTGCACGAGTGCGACGAGTGATGTTCCATGTTTTCAAGGTGAAATGCGACACGATACATGTAGCGATGGTGTGCGCGGAGTACAATTCAACCTTTGCTCTCGTAACTGTAGTGAAGTCCATTCTGTTTTATCGCACGAATCCGTTGCATTTTCATTTGCTCGTCGACGAAATTGCGAGGAGAACGCTTTCGACTCTGTTCCGAACGTGGGATTTGCCGCATGGTTTGTACGCTTTTACGACAGGGCACGCACTGCCCTTTGTGACGCACACGGCAGCGGGAAAACCTAATTTTTATCCACGTTTGCGTGTACGTCGATGTGCGGGATACGATATATAAAACAGAAAAAAAAAACTCTTTCTCGCAAACGTAAAATTGTGAAATTTATTTAATTGAATCCGTTAAACTTTTCAACACGCAGCTGTGCGCGCACAAAGTTTTATTAAAATCGAGATTTTCAGAGTTACAATATCGTATTTTTACATTCGGCAGATGCGTGTCTTGCGCGAATTAAATGAAATTGCGGCCCTTCAGCATTCAATCGTCCGTTTAATCAATTATTTCAGTGATCGTAACATTTTACGCGGCCGAGGAATGGGTGCCGAAGGTCTCGTGGATACCGAACAAGCATTATTCGGGGGTGTACGGTCTCTTGAAATTGATACTGCCGGACGCAATGCGCGAGGACAAGGTGCTCGTGTTGGACACCGACGTAACCGTGCTGAACGACGTCTACCCGTTGTGGAAAATGTTCCAAGACTTTTCGGCCGGCCAGACTCTGGGCTTGATCGATAATCAGAGCAATTGGTATACAAGAACGCTGTCGTACGGACAGCGGCCGTGGCCGGCCTTGGGACGGGGATTCAATACCGGCGTCATGCTGATGCATCTGCGACGGCTGCGCGATGGCAAATTCGTAAACTCGTGGGAAAGCGTGACCAGGCGCGTGCTGGGACACATACCGGAGACCAGTTTGGCCGATCAAGACGTGATAAATGCAGTGATCAACGAGCAGCCGAGTATTGTATACAGGATAGAGTGCACGTGGAATATACAGCTGAGCGATCACACGATAAGCGACACGTGTTATCGCGACACCAATCGTATAAACGTACGTTTTCGCCGCCGTAGCTTCTATCGCTCACTCCCGGTCAGCGCGGCCGAGATCGATCGACGACTGATCGTGCACGTCGTTTGCTTTTAGATTCTCCATTGGAACTCCCCGCGCAAGCAAGACGTTCACAATAAGCACGTTAACGAGTTTCGAAAACTCCACCGCGTCTTCCTCGAGATGGACGGCAATTTGTTACGAAAGCGCTTATTCGGCTGTGACAAGCACGAGAGTGTGCTTCCAGTAAGTTGAGAGTCCCAAAATCCCCCCGGCATTTTATTTAATGCGCGACTCCCTTGCACGATATTCATTGCACGCGCGTTTTAGTACAACGAATCGAGTCCGTGTCGAGAATTCGAGAAAGGCGCTACGATTTTGTACCGCACGCATCCCTTCCTTTTGGAATACGAATACAATGTATATTCGCCGACGGACGTTGCTCTGGTCACTCAGTGCAGCATCGAGAGGATACCGCTGTTGGAGGCATTATCTAAACACTGGCCGGGGACTATAAGCGTTGCGCTTTACCTGACCGATGCAGAGGTCCAAAACTTTCTGGACTTTGTGCGAGGCTCTGCGGATTTGCGGGCGAGAAGGAACATCGCTTATCACGTTGTGTACAAAGACGGGGTGCGTTGCGCAGCGTCTTTAATCCTAAAGAACACAAACCTAAACGCGTAATAGCGTTAAAACGGATAATTGTGTTCTGTGTAAACAAAATTATCTCTCAATAATTTTACAAAATTGCGCTCTTTAGGATTAAACAGCGTCGAATCTAGAATAATTTATATATTGCATGATTTTTGGATAAAAATTCATTCTTTTGTTATTCAAATTATTATTTTTTTCTCGTCCAGGATCTTTACCCTATCAATTACTTAAGAAACACTGCAATATCGTACGTATCAACTCCGTTTGTTTTTCAACTCGACGTCGATTTTTTGCCGCAATTAGGACTGTACGAAACTCTCATGAATCATATCAATCGATTAAACATCAACGAGTCGGACAAAATAGCTCTAATCGTGCCGGCATTCGAAACGGAACGCTATAGGTAATTCTTTGTCGATGTGTTGTGTTGAGTTGGACCGTGTTACAAAGAAAAGTTGTCTTTTTTTTTTTAGGTTTACATTCCCCGCAAATAAAGAAGAACTGTTGAAGTTTCTCAAACGCGGTATTCTGTACACGTTTCGCTATCATGTCTGGACGCAGGGACACGCCGCTACAAACTACAGCTTATGGCGAAACAGTACGGAGCCTTACGAAGTGCGTGCGAGATCGTAATTAACGGAAATGCCGGCAATATCAATAAAATAAAGCGACTAAAATATGTATATTAAACATTTGCATATGAGAAAAATAAAAATGCGTGACAAATGGATCGTTACAGGTTTCATGGGAGCCGGACTTCGAACCCTACATAGTAGTTTCGAAATTCGCCCCGCGATACGACACAAGATTTGTCGGATTCGGTTGGAATAAAGTTTCCTACGTGACCCATTTAACGGCGCTAGATTACAAGTAAGCCGTAATAATTTTATTAATTCGGATAATGAAGTAAAATATGCAATCAGATACGATTCGATTAATGTACCGCACGGTTTTAATATGTTAAAACGGCTGAAATTGCAGGTACATCGTTTTACCAGACACCTTTATTATTCATCGACCTCACGCCCCTAGTCTAGATATCGGCAAATTTAGGACAGATCCTATTTATAGAAGGTAATGATATAATATCCTTTGTTTCAGAAACCCGCTAAGGTGGCATTTAAAATAAAGCAACCTTGAATAACGTCTGCAAGTTTTTTATTTATTTTACAGATGTCTTAAAAAATTGAAGGATGAATTTGTCGATGAGTTGGTGATGAAATACGGCGAGATCGCACTGTCAAAACTAAAGAAAGAGACCAAAGAAGAGAAATCCTAAGAGATCCATAAAAATTGTAATATTTTAAAATATAACTAAATATGTAAGAATTTATTTTATATTTGTATGAATTACAAAAAGTATATATATATATACTGTAGTTATTTTCCTAACAAAAATATAATTCTTCTAAATAAAACATACCTCATGCCTCATTTGTTCATTTGATCTCATTAATTTTAATTATAAAAATATTCCAAAGTAAAAGGTGGAAGAAATGGATCAAATTTAGGATCGGGAAGTATTTATTAAAATTTAACCCATATATTTAGTGGAGTGTACAGAGTGGTGCTTTCAGTACATTATTTTAATATTACAATCACACTAAATATTTCGTTTATAAAATATGTATAATATTTACAGCGCCAGGTATGTTAATACGTTATACAAATCATATATGCAGCCAAAATATTATACTGAACCTCTGAAAATCGAGACGCTCGTTATAAGGCAAAAAATTCTTTTTGTAAATAATTACAGTAATGACGACAATAATGGCGGCATTAGTAACTATGTAACGTAATAGCGCAAATATAGTAATCATAGCAGTATATAAAAAATAAAGCACTATTAAAAAAGTAGCAATAGCAGTATAATACGATAATAATAGTACAAATAGTAAAAATATTAATAGGAATAACGGTGAAATCATCCCGTTAACAATTGCAAAATTTTTTTCTCCATCGTTAATATTTCTAGTTCGTGTAGAATTCTGGCAGAATCGCGAATAATACAGTTCGGATTAAGATTATTATCTACAACATGACACGCAAATATAAATCATTTACATTCACATTATCATTCTGACTTATCTCAATAGAAATATTTTTCAAATTTCTTATCTCCCACAATATCTCACGGGTGTCTTGTGCGAGATACGAAGTTGCGTCGATGAAACATTATTTTCCTTTTTGATTCATGATGATTTATGGATTCATGATCATTCATGCGCATTGAATGAACTCATCGTTGAGCATGAGCTAAGCAACCATGGTTCTTACACGACATTGTCCAATACATGTCAACGTAAGTATTACACGTGTATATTTAGCGACGTAATTCGCGTTTCGTGCGATACTTTGTGTGTGCTTATTCGATCTTTTTTATGAGCGGTACATTCGTCTTTTTTCGTCGTGATTTCGCGCCATTTTGGCATGGCAGTTAGGCAGTTTTAACAACGATTCTTGCGCAATGCAAAAGACTTAGTTTACGCAATTAAGTAACGATCGTTTCGTAACGAATTATAAAAGCAAACGAACACAGTTCGAGAGTTTATTGGTTCAATCGATGTTTAATTAAAATAATCATTTATATTTATGCGTAAAACATGTTGGATTAACTTATTATTAATTCCTAAACAAAAAACTGTTTTTATGTAGCGTAATTTGCACCAAAGTTAACTTGGGCAAAATGCACGATAGCGTTGCGTATTATTTATGTATAAATGCAATTCCTTTCGCGTCAAGAACTAACGAAAAAATTGCGTTTACAGAGTCCCGGTGTAAAACCAGAAGTATTTTAATTCTAAAAATGTCAGTCTTGAGAGACGAATAATTAGGTCATCTACCGAATACTTTTGCACGTCTATAAAAGTAATATTAGTAAATTTATTTAAAATCCAGTATAGCAAACCAAAAAATCTGTTCTAAATATCTCTACATATATACGTCAGGAATGTATATACACGATAAATGTATGTAAAAAAATTCTTGTTTATTTTAAAGAAAACTATTTGATTTTTTGGGAAAAAATGGAGCATTTGCTAAGAATAATAATTCTACGTTATGTTCTATAATTGTAGAGTACAAAATTATGCCCCGGAATGTTCCGATAAATGCAGAACGTTAATCTTTTTTTAAATATTCGTCATAATGCGATAAATACTTAATTAGGTTTTCCTATCTGAACTCATTCAATGAACTGTGTTCTAAGTAATGCATGGGTTTTATAAAAAGCATTCTCATTAGATGCACGTAAATAACTGCTCGGAAAATTGTAAGTTGGACCGGTCTACTGGACGGTACCTTCGATTGACCGCACATTGGCAAAGAGTTGAAGCGTCATATTATAAAATTAACATGTCATTTTGCGTACATATAAATATATAAAATGTTGGAGGCAAAATCTGCTATCCGCTTTAAAACAATTTAAAACAATTGAATAATTTTAATAATCGACACAATTATCAGTAATTCAAACCATAAAAAGCCTTTGATAATTTTATTAATCGTCATTATTAAAATGAGATAAATGCTGTTAACGGTATAATATATGAATACGTTAAAATTACTAAAATGACGCCGCTACTACATAATTTCGACACACATCGAGCCGAATCTCCATCTGTGCGCAGCACGTACAAATGGGAGCAGCCTAAATGAGCTTGCTTGTATCAGTCATAAATTACCCTATTTTAATGTAAATTACTGTTACACTTCGCGAGCACGTACAAATCGAAGGGTATTGGAAGCGAGGAGAGTGTGCGTGCACGATATTTGAAATATCACGCAAACGACGTGGCAGTTAAATAGATAATTGAGCGCTGAGAATTCGTGATATATGTATACCGCGCTATTACGGAAATATTTAAATGATCTCGCGCCAAGTCACGTTTTTAATTTCGCTTTCCCGGTTAATGTGTCAATCCTTATTTCGCCACAACATGTCCTTCCTATCAATAAAAAAAACTACACATCTGAAATAATGATTAAATAAAAACTATTAGCGAACCAAAATAAAAATATTTTTACAAAATCCAGACCAATGTAAAATAAATTTACTGCTTTTGTGTTATTCAAACAAATAGAAAAGTGTAGGTATTTGATTGCTGCGGCAATATTTAATGGGTTTTATTTAAATTTTATTTGTTCGAAAAAGAAAAATTGAAGACCGTTCGAAGCTCAATTATTTCGTTATTAAGAATTAATTAAGCGCCGTGTAATTAATGAAATTTCTCCATTAAGAAAGATCTTCGTACGGAAGGACATGTGATCGATCCGCATTTGAAATAAACGAGATAGATGTTTCGTGATTGATCGATGTCGAACATCGGTGTCGCGACGCAGGACGCATAAGTGAGACGCTTCGCAATCGCAATTCAGGATACTCTCGGTGACAATCAATAAATTATTCCGATACCGGGTATGACGTATACACGCTTCGTTAACTGTTGGACGCGCGCAGCGCTTTCCCATAGTGTTAAATGGAATGTGCGCCAGTGGGTCTCGCGTTACTCATCAAACGTATCCGAGGGTCGATCGCGTGTACGGTATCGACAGCTGAGGAAGGTTCTCCGTTTAATCAGCCGCGGGTCGAGTGAGACGTCGGATAGAGCGCAATTCAAAATACAAAATTACAAAAATATACTCGTGGCGCCGTAACGACCGGACGTGCCGTGCAGGGTTTCCATCGCGTGTGGCATTTACAATATGAACATTATTACGGTTAAGGTGCAATCGAGAAAGAGAGAGTGTATGTACATGGCACGGCACGATGGTCGAGCAGGACGAGCCGCGACTCTGCTAGGCCGCTTAAAATACTGTTCCGGCGTTCTCCGATCGTGCGAGCTCGATTTTTCACGCGCACTCGATGATGCATCTTTGCGATATACGTTCGAGCCGCTGGACGGAATGATGAGCACAAATCACACACGCTAAGAGGAGAAATAATTCTACGCGTAATCAGTTTGCTAAATTCGGAAGAAACGTGGAGATCATCGCCGTCGGTTGGCACTCTAGTCTACGAGAAGCTCGGTCTGTCGCGTCGCGTAGCGTATCTTTTTCTCTCGCGATAACTACGGGAACATGCTGCTGTAAGTCCGTTGCTTGTGGATCGCAGCGGCACGACGAAAAATCGAGGCAACACGACCGCGTCGCTATTTTTTCCGCTACGTCTCACCCGAATGGCTCTTTGCGCGCTCGAGCCATAGCCATCGGGCGCTTAATACTGTTCGGCACAATGTAGGGCGAAGCCCGGTTTTATCGTTGCTCTATAATTCTTGGCGACCGTCGCACACTATGCGTCCGCAAATCTCAGATTCGGGAAACTGTCGTCGGAATACGAAAAAACAGAGAGAGAGCGGAAAAATGCCAAAAAAAGCAGGCGATAAAAAAAAATTTATTTTACGAAATTAAATTTGATATAATTTGTGTAATATCACGAAATAAGGAGGTTGCGACTTCTTTCTCAGAACATGAGATATTAAATATTAAAGGCTAATCCTTCATATGCAAATGACGCGTCCAATTTAAGTTTTGCTATCGAAGATAATTTAATTTGCGTCCGAAAGTTATTAAAAACTCATTTGACATTTCTCATATAATCGCGTGCAAAAAAATCATCGATTTGCCAAATTTAGGGTAGAGATAAAGTGCGCCACTTTTCAGATACTCCGTATATTGCGACAGATCCCGCGTGATGCATTTATGTAGAAGGATTCGGCAGTATTCTGCCTGAATAGCGCTAACCCAAATTGCGTCTGGGAGACGCAGGGATCGGATTGATCGAAAGTGCCCTTTGGATTCAAGTATCGTTCGGCGGTAAGTCAAGCTTGCGTGGGACTCATCGGAAATACGTTTCTCCCGCTGCTCAGCACTTTGCCACGGTACGGAAAGCTGCGCGCAATCGCAACAAGTTGTATACATTCGCGTTCGAAATCCTTGCTAAAGCCAGAGAACGAGAACGTTAATCTCCCGGATAAAAAGGTAACAAAAGCATAAAGAGGGGCTAGCTCGCTGGCGATAAATTCGTAGTTAAAGAACGTTCTCCACCTATCCCGCCCCGGTGAAATATCACCTACAAGTGAAGCGGCTTCTCCGTGTTGGTGCGCGAGCACGTAAGCACTTCTTATCACGATGTATTGCAGCTTGATGGTACGCGCGAAAAACGGAAGCGGCAAATCGACAGAATTAACCAGCGCGGAAGGTAATGGGAGGCATCGCGGGGAAAGCGATTTGTGTTCATATTGCGGAAATCGCGATAAAAAATAAAAGTAAAAAGAGTGCGAAACAACGAGCTCGAATGAGTTTGCCGTCGAAACGGCATTAACTTCAACGAAAGAAAAATGCGCGCCGGCCTGTGTGCACGACAATCGTTTCGACAAGTCACATGTTTTCTAGCTTCAAGGAGAGACGATTTATCGGCCATCAGGTATTCGGGACCATAAGTCCGACGTTCGTTCGTCGATGATATATCGCTCGCGTGAACGTTCTATCTTTACGATATATTGTCGTCGATGGTAGAATTGTTGCGATCGAGCGTATCTCAAAAACGGGAACGCGTGGAATGCCGTGTCTCTCGCTCCCTCGCGCGTTTCGCGACACATCGTAATATCGCTATCTTTTTGAATCATGTCGACCTAACATTTGTCTACGTGTCGCGCTGACTTTTTGACGATTCGCGATCGACAATGCCCGTCGAGCTGTTTACGCGTACACAACTGTATATGCTGTAATCAATACTTTTTCGCGCAGTTCGTTATATTAAGCGCAATATTTAAATTATTCAATTATTAACGATCGGATTTATTTGATGAATATAATTGTTCCTAATTGGAAGGATCGCGCTTAATGTTCAATTAATTTGGAATCCCAAAATAAATTTGTCGATATACGTACCTTAAATCATTTTCAGGTGTTATCCATAGTTATACATATATAATATGATAGCAGCAGCGGAAACCAATTCGATAACGATGTCAAATTGATCGTATTTGCAAACGCTAATTCGGATCACTTATAATAATTATACAATTTCCAAAGATCACGATATTCGTACAGTTAGAGCGTCAGCAGAAATAAACGCGTCAATATTATGTACTTTTGGCTGTACACGATTTTATCTGTAATCTGTAATATATTTGTTCTGGCAAGTTTAAACATGCATTCGAGAGTGTCATCGCCCTTACATCTATTTTAGATTTATACATTCCTGTAATAGATATTATTCTTTTAATACGAGGTGGCATCGTTAGAATATTTCGTACTGCATTAATAATATCTGTCAATATTTTACATCGTGCAATCAATATATACATATATATATATATATATCTTGTGTATTTTAAAACACATCACATATAATAATCGCAATAACGCGTTGATGAAATATCGAAATTTAATTTAATTTATAATCAAGTTATGTCAACTTGCTGCTGTAATTATCACGAGCAATATTTTTCGGTGATTTAAGATATTGACAGACATCGCTAATAGAGCACGAAATAGCTCTGGAGGTATGCGTTTAACGATGCTTACAGAAGGAGAAGGGACACTGATCATTATGTCATTCGATGTAAGCTTAGAGAATTCATGTTGCTTGCAGATGCAACGAATCTTGCTACAATACAGGCGTCGAAATTCAGACATTAAAAAAGAAACAGGATGACGTGTAACAGCTATATAGATTCTTAACAATGTTAAATTCTCATTACGCTTCTCGCATAAATGTAACATGTGTGCAAAACGTTTTGTTTCTTGTCTGTATCTCAACACTCCCGTTTATACACGCGAATCATTACGATCGCGATTCTCGACTGCGGACACACGAATAGCAGACGAATTCACTGGCAACGCTTTTAACAGAACGAATTACATCCAGTGCTTCCAGTTGCTTTGTGTTTCGCCGCCCAAATTCCACACAAAACGCGAACAGGTTTCGCCTTATCGACTAAGCCGGCAGTAATGTCCCGAACCTTATTCACACTTATCACGTTATCGCCTCACCGCGCGTGGCGAGCGCCAAATAAAACCTAAAGGAACCTGACAAAAAAAAGGAAAAAAAAGATACATAGGAGGAGACGAGGGACAGAAAAAGGATGGCTTTTGACGATCGGGCCGTTCAAAAAATAATTCAGACCGCAATTCATTGGTCTCCGAGTTTGAACGTTTTGTAGTATTCAATAAATAACTTACGAGATACAGGAAAGGCGAGGGAAGGGAACAGGTGATGTAATCGTCCGATCGTCACGTCCTCTTAACGTCATCGTCAGCGGTTTCAGCGAGCCATGCGTTCATCAGTTCCGTCGTCAAGAGAGGAGGCTTTCCGAATTTCCTCGTGTTTTTCTTTCTCTCTCTCTCTCTCTCTTTCTCTCTCTATCTTCATTCTCTGGATGAGCGTGACTCACTGAACGGAGTGGAAGTTCTGCACGCGTGAGTCACGCGTCTCGAAAGGCACTACCGGTTTATTGTAAGCGTGGTCGCGCGCACCCCATCGTGGCGTACTACGACCAGTCGTCCTCATGGACGATGCCCGTGGTATCATACTTCCGTGCCGTCTTCGCCCTCGTCTTCATACAGCGTCGGCCCGTTGGCAGACTTCTTCTTAGGCTTCGGCGGCGGCCTCGGTGGTATCTTTCTGCCAAGAGTGTTACTAGCGGAAGCCTGTGGTTGCTGAGGTTGTTGCGCCAACAACGAATGACCGTCGTCCAAACTTTGGTCCGCCAGCTTGATTGGCCACTCGGCCGCGCCTTCTGGCGCGGCTCGGTCCAGCGGGCTGCCGGCTAGGATGTTCGGCGTGCTACGCTGGATTGTGCCGTAGTGCGAAGTGCCCGGCGTGCTTGGAAGTGGCCGACCACGCATAGAGAGCGCCGGTTCCGGACTCTTGTTCAACGATAGCTTGGAGCTACCGTCCGCCGTAGTGCGCAGCCCTAGATTGTCATAAACCGGCTCGAGAACCTCGGTTGGCGACGTCGGAGGTCCACTGCTCCAACTGGGCGCCCGCGGTCGTCGTGGGATCGTCACGTAACCGTGACGCGGTAGCACCGGCGCTATCGGCGACGACGACGATGACGGCCCGAGGCCGTACGGCGTGGCGCTGCGGCTGTGCGGCAGCGTCTTGAAGGCGGCCGGATGGAACTGGCTCGACGGCGGCGAGCCGTACAATGACGTCGCCGCCGGCGTCATCGCTGATGCATGTTGATTAGGCAGACGCGTGTTGTCGGGCGCCGTCGACGCCTGGCTAGTCGGCGATGCGCCACGCCCGCCGGAGAAGGCCAGCAGATCCGCGGGTATTGCCGGTGATGGTAACCGGTAGTTCCACGCGGCAGCGTGCCGCTGCCGCCCCTGCCGAGTTCTGGCGTCGCCCGTTCGTGATCCTTCTCGTCGTCGCCTATGCTGCCGCCTACTCCGCCGACGACACCGCTCCCGACGACACCGTCAGCTGCGAGAACATGAACAAAAGAGAAGGGCCAACGTTAAAAAAGAAAATTTAAGGTTGAGAAAAAGAAAGGCGGGGGGAAAAAAAAGATTTTCGTGCTCGAAGACGTTGGATGCGACAGGCGCAGTACTGGCAGCGGTACTCTGCCAGGATATTGCCTTGATTGCAACGCGATATTGGCGTAACGTTAGCCACGACAAGCATGAACGAGTGCCCTTAATCAGATTAGTCGCGATACGATCACGACCGGGAGCGCGGCTTTGTCAATTTGCCCGAAAAAATGTAACTACATTTTCTGGGTCACCGTCGGTCAAGCGTAACGCTGGACACTGCATTCTGTTGCTTTTAGATTCGTATGACATTCATAAAGTTGATTAAGCTTTTCTATAAAATTTAAATCGTGCAAGCCGTAATTTTTCGCGCTTTGATGATAATCTTATTTGTTAGGCGCCTTCGTTTGAAATTTTAATAACTCAATTCTCTATCACATACAATTCTCTCTGTATAATTTCGTCGAAAAATATTTCATCAACAACGATTTGTTTATCTACACACATAAGATAATTTCTTGGCGGACCTTATTGTCGTCATTACTTGTGCAATTATATTTTACAACGATCCACTATGCGATTCGCAATTAATATTCTCGCGTCACTTTCGGATGTTAAATTAAAGCCTGCGTTCTGTTCTTATGTACAGAAAGTGTTGTCGTAGAGAATGATGTTATCAGTGATCGAATGCAGATGACGAATGCCTTCGCGCTGTCACAGCGCGACGTTATATTAGAGGGGGGGTTGCCCGGTGTATCATAAGCGTCCCTAACGGATCTTCATTAGTCTCCTAGCTGCCACTTGGCGGACTTCCTCCTTACCCCCAAGATCGATGGCACCTGGTTCAACTGTCGGACGATTCTCGCATGACGATGCACGCTCAGCACGAAACGAATCGATTTACGATTACACACACATACACACACGCCATTTGTACATTATACAATCGACGTACAGCGGTCGTTTCATTCTCGGAGGAAGTGTATTGCCTCGCGAAACGACCGGTGTTACGCGGTCCATTGGAGACTCGTATCGGCCGCACTCTCGCCGGCAAACTCTATCGACCTTGAGTTAATATCCGCGAAGTGCGCGCGCGTTTCCAGATAAATCGCTCGTCGGTGCTAATGAGCGGTTTCTCGCTAGCACCTCGCCACACACTGTTTAGTAATATAGGCTGTATACTGACCGAAGACCGAGTCGTTGTCGAGCAGCGTGCGGTTCAGCTCCGTCATCTCCGTGCCGTGTGACGTCACCGACGGCGCCTCGTACCGCCTCGGCGGCTTCACCACCGGATTGATCGTCGTAATCAGGGACTTTTCCTGCTCGCCATGGTGTTCGAGGGACGCTGCCTCGAGGCCCTTCTCGTCATCCCTGGTCCGATGACGCCGGCAATAGCACACGCAAAGCGCAACGGTAACAATCAGCAGACACAGCGCGGATACGCCGAGACCAATGGCGATCGGCAGGCTTATGAAATTGTCCCTGCCGCCCAGTGCATCGCCCACAACGGTCAGAGTCACGTTTCTTTCGGATTCGCCGCCGGTGCTCTTCGCGTGACAGACGTAGTCGCCCTTATCGGAAGGCGTCAAGTCGACAATCGTGAGATTCAGCCAATCTTGGTCCGACGTCAATATGTAGCCTCTATCGCTGTTCGGCCGCTTCGTGAGGCTGTTTATGAGACGGGCACGATGACCCCCATGCCAGCTGAAACACGATATATTTTACAGTCGTTATTAATAATAAATTAACTTGCTATTATACAAATTACAAACAAAAATTAATTATTATATT